CCCTCTTTATTTTTTTCACAACTTGCTCTCTTTTTCTACTTTAATTCTCTCTCAATTCCCTTTTGATTATTGAATTGCCTATTGCTCTCAAGTTATCAATTAATTAATATTTCAAGTTTTATCAATTATTTACGGTAGCCACTATAAAATTATAATTATCAAATGAAGTGTGGTTACAATTTTTGTTAGGTTCAAATTAAATCATGCCTTCTAGAGTGCGTTCACACATTTGGGAACACTTTGAGGTGATAGAAGAAAATGAAGAAGTTCGCAAAGTAGAGTACAAGAACTGTGATCGAGTCTTTAATGTTCATCGAAAGTGGGAGGGCACAAATGGTTTAAGGAGGCATATGAAGGGTTGTCTTGTGCGTCCTCCAGGAATTCGTATTTAAGTTGATTTGAGACAATTTGGGTTATTTTGAATTTGTTAGACTTATTTAAGTTTAATGTGTTAGTTTATAAGACAAGTTAATTTGAAGTATTATTATGCAATGAAAATATGAAATGAAAACCTTTGAAATTTGATCCTTACATATTGATCTTATTAAATAATTTTATGTAGCCATTTAATTTTAATTTTTAAATTTTAAAATTCAAATTTTAAATTTAAAAGTTTAAAGTTTAAAAGTTTAATTTTATCCCTTAAAATACTTATTTTATTATTTAAAAGTTTGCAAACACTTAAGCAATAATTACATTGAACAAGGAAACATAATACACAAAAAAAAATTAACATGGCCCGATCCGGAGCCGATAAATCCGAACCCGAACGGACCCACTAAAACCCGAAATATTCCAGCCCACTATCAGCCCGGAATCCCAGCCCATTAACCGGACGACCTGTTTTTTCCTATGTCCAGCACGTCCGATTAACACCTATAACTTATAGCACGTGCTTTTTAATTTCCATTCGCAGCTTCATGTCACAAATGTTAACTAATTTGGATTGGAATTTATAAAGGAACTTTTCTTTCCTCCTTTGCTTGATTTGACAAATAGAAAGAGGGAAATGGTCAAAAAGGGAAATAGGTTTCTTCCTAAAATGTTTCTTTCCCTTTTCATCTCCTATTTTCTCTTTGTACTTCTTATTTCTATCTCATTCTCTTTTTTCTTTTCCTCTTTTTTCCCCTTTCGTAATTGCTAGCGTCGTATAAGAATTCAACAAGAATGGATGAAGTTCTTATACTTTTAATTAGAGATTTCAAATTCGAACCTCAGAATGACTTCCTCTTTAATGAGCTTATCGTAGCACAATCGCAAATTAATTAGACTAGTTGATACCCAATAGCGTAGGGTGATTTGCACAAATAAGACACTTCGATGTCATTATTAATTCTTTGACCCCACTTGACCCGTGGACACAACTTTAAGTTTAACAAGTGTCGTTCCTCGCTTGTCCCATGGGGCATGGGCAACACTTTTGACTTTTGACATTTGCCCATGAGGCAACAACAACAACAGTAACAACCCAATAAAATTTCACAAGTGGGATCTGGGTGAGACAAACGGAGGTTAAAAATCAAGATCACCCATTTTCAAGGTGATTGAGTGTAATTTCTTGAATACATTATTAAACAAAAGAACTCAACAATACAACTAGATTTTGGTAAACTGCATGTCCCTTTTGACCATATGGGCTTAGATTGATAGAGAATGATATAGAGTTGGGCCTAGAATTAAATGGGCCCGAACTCAATCTGTTTAATCTAAAGGCCCATTTTCAAGATAAGAGAAAGAAGATAAGGCATAAATACATTTAAAACAATCTACCACAACCTTTCATTGCTCTATCTCGCAAAAAGAAAAAATGAGACTTCAACTCCATTTCCAACGCTCTAATCTTCCATTGCTCGTCCAACTCAAGCACAATTCACCCCTTAATAAACCTCAAAATTTGCCATATGGGAAGAGAGAAATTCACCAGCTAGCTGCAGAAAAAAGAAGCTTAGTTAAACCAATAGCTCTACAAATCTCGCACAAATCCAAGATATTTTCAAGAACTGAAATTTCTGAGTCTGAAGCTGGTTTAAATGAGAAAAGTTCAAAGCTTTTAGTATTGGGAGCTGTATCTGTTGGGGTAATGCTGTTTTTACTGGGATTTGATGATCAAAACAAGGCATTAGCATTGGGTCCTGAAGGTCCATTAATGGAGGAATTTTGGGATAATATGAGGAGATATGCAATTTATGCATTGACAGTTAGTACTGGAGTTCTTTGGGCTGTTTTTGAACCCATTTATGAGCTGTTGAAGAATCCCATTTCTGCAATTTTAATATTGGTTATTATGGGAGGCAGTTTTTATATTGTTTCTCAAGTGGTATCAGCTATGGTCGGTATTACTGACTTTGCTTATGATTATAACTATTAGATTTCAGTTTACTTCTGTATAAAGAGGGACTTTCCTTGTTAATCCAATGCAAATTCTATACGTTTGTGCTTAAATTCAGTAAGCAATATATATTGCCTTCAAACTCATAGTGTTGCATACTATTTTAGTATAGTTTTTTGACAGGTCACTATTGATATGGTCATATCTGTAAATGTAAATTTGCTTTTCCGAACACCATTGTGATTTTGGTATGTAATGCGTCCTTATTTGGGAGTCTTGGAGTAACCAATAAGGTTGTTGGGCCAGGAGGTCACCGGTGCAAGCCATGAAAATCACCTCTTGCATAAATACGGAATAAGGCAACATACAATATACTTTTGTGGTCCGGCTCTTCCCCGGACTCCGCGCATAGGGGAAACTTAGTGCGCCGGGCTTCCCTTTGATGCTTCCCTATTTGCTAAAATCACCTTTTCTTGTCAAGCTTTAGAGGGATCAAATTTGATTTTATTTTGCAATTGGTCTTCATTTTCTCAGTATCAAACAGACATGTCCACTGATGCCATTGAATTAAATCCACAACTAGAGTGTAAAACTCAACAGCTAAAACAAACCACAACAAGTGCAATCAATCAGTCAACTACACTTCAATTGAAGACCAATTGAAATCAACTACTATATAAAACTTCAAAATCCATTACACCCTATTTAACCGTTACCAGCCCAAATAGGAATCACACTTTGTTATCCATTTAGAATAGGCGTTCAAATCTAAACTCAAATATTGTTGAAGCACACTTCACTGAGAATTAAGAATTCACATTTATTCACATTGATGCCATTAACTAAATTACAAGAACTAAGATAAATACTAACACCATACACAAAGACTACTACTAAGTTATTCTCGGGCATAACATACCCACAGTCTAATCTTAGCCCAAGAAAAGATCCCAAAAGAAGCCATCTACATACGATTAATAAGTAAATTTTACAAAGCAACACATCTAACAGGCAATGGAAGAAACAGAAAGAGGATATTTAAAAGTATTAGCATATTGAAAAGTGAGGGATTGTCCAGGACTGAGAGGCTCTCCATCATTAACAAGGCAATCATTATAACTAAGTCTTCTGAAAATTCTAGGATTTATGAGCCTTGCTGAACTAAACCAGCCACAACTCAAGTGAATGTTGGACACAGTGCAACTTCCTCCTGAGTAACATGCATTTTCGATTATGACTGTGTATGTTGGAATGCCATTTGGAAGTGGCGCTGTGTCACCTTGGTTTACTTGGATGCTGTCTTTTGAACATGATGATGGCCCTATTCTATTCTCCGAGCCATCGCCTTGATCATCGCCATCATCCCCACTGTCACCATTATCATTATCATCACCGTCATCACCAGTACCATCACCATCACCATCACCAATATCTATTCAATGCTCGAAAAGAACAAGATTAAGTCAAGCAATGTAGCTACTAGTTCAAGTGCTCAACAATATGGTACTAAGTTTTACACCTTTAAAAATTTTATGCAACAGGCAAATGCCAATGTGTGAATTGTTCGCCTAGGTAACAGGGGTTGACAAAGGGCATATTCGTTTCTTTTACTTTGCTTTTGCTATATAAAAATCATAAGTTGAGAAATAACAAGATTGGCGAAGGATAGTAAACTTGACTGACTAAACAAGTTTAAAAGGTTTATTTTGATTGTGATACATAATGACTAAGGCACTTTATAACAATATAAAGGGAAAAGCATGTGGAACATTATATTAGGAGCCAAATATATGTAGCTTTTTGAGCTTATTTATAACCAAGTTGCGTGCAAGCTAGGCACAATTAATGTTGATCGGGGATATATGTCTTACCAGGAAGGCGTAGTAATTTCCGAGCAGAAGTGACAGTGTATTTTTGCCTGGGAATTAGGGCTCTTTCTTGAATAGCACCACCTTTCTCAGCTTGTTCCAATGCATGATTAATGTGCATTACTGCATCATTAAAAGATAACAACACTTGCTTCAAGATTTCAGGCCTTGAACATTCAAGATAGAGTTGGAATCATCAAACCCCAAGAGGGAAAAAAACCCAAAACATTAACCGAAAAAATCCTATAGGGGTACATGCATAACAGTAGAATAAATATGTTTTGTTCAGAAAAGAAAACAATGCACTGTCACTCATGTTCGGAAGTTACTGCGCCTTCCTGGTAAAACATATATCCCAGATTAACATTGCGCCTTGTTTGTGGCTTGGTAATTATAAATAGAAAAGCTGCATATTTGATTATCCTAATAAAGTTCAGAAGCTTTTGCCTCTATGTTGTTCCAAAGTGCCTTAATTATCTTTCAAAAGTTGCACCACCTTACTCAGCAAGTTCCAATGCATGAGAATAATGAGCATTACTGCATCTTCAAAAAGATAACAACACTTGCTTCGAGATTTTCAGGCCTAGAACATTCAATATAGAGTTGGAAATCAAACCCCAAGAAGGGGAAATTAAAATATCGCGGATGTTTAACCGAAAAAATCCTATAGAAGCTAGGGATACATGCATGGCAGTAGAATAAATATATCAAAGCAGTAACCATAGTTTAGATTTCCCAACTTCACTTTTCTTTTCTGAATAAAAAAGAATTTCTTAAAAAGATAGGGAGCTGCAGAAGTGACATGGAGTTGAGCAAAGAATTACTCTTTCCGGCAAAGGTGAAAAGCAAGAAAAAGGCCAGTTAGTTATAAATATCAAACTCAACATAAAAGGAAGATAAATGAAGGGAGAAGGAAAGAAGAGAGAAAATATATACCAGAGAATGAAACAAGCAACAAAACCATATAGACCAGGAAAAGACTCTTCATTGTCGTTCAATTTCAGCCCTTGTTTTAGTACGTTGAACTGCAAATGAGGAAAAAAATGAACCATCACATACAAGATTGAATGAAAATTTTTGTAGTAGGAAAAAGGAAGGAAAGCTGCAGAGTAAAGTGCGTGAGAATAAATATGAAGCAAACTTACAGAGTTTGTACTTTTTAGTAGTAGTAGTAGTAGTGGTGGCAGCTAGCGCAGAAGCAAAACTTTAGGTTGCGGGGTACGTAAATCTAACAAGAATAGGAGAAATTTATAGTGTCCAATATGGACAGAAGGAGAAGTTCGTATATAGTATTAAAATATAGGTAGCTAGTGGATTTATGGGCTTGTTCTAACACGTACTTGTCATTCAAAGGGTTATATATGTTCTCTCCTTTTTTAGGCAGTAATGAGGAGGAAGAAGATATGGAGATCAAATACTAGTAATTATAGCTGCTGCCTCCATTTTCCAGTAACTAGCTGTGACTATAGTGACCACCTTTCATTTCACTGCCTGCATCCTACATATATATATATATATATATATATATATATA